GAAAAGCTGCCAGGTATGTGTAATCTATGACTTCCCTGGACAGTATGTTTCAGTACCTCATTAACAATGCCTTTTCCTAACACCTAACCTAAATCTCTCCTCTTTTGGAGGACTCTCCATTCCCCCTATTTCTATCACTATCTAATTATGTAAACATGTCAGTCCCCCTCCTATTTGTAAGCTCCTTTCAGTACTGGAAGGCTACAATGAGGTCTCCCTCAATCTCTCTTTATAGGAGAGGTGCTCCAGCACCCTGATTATCTTCGTGGCCCTCCTCTGAACTTGCTCCATCAGCTCCATATCCTACATGATCAGAAGCCTCTGTGGCATATCCAAAATGCCTACAAAATTATACAGTTGGAAAGCTTTACTATTGAACAGTGTGTTGAATAGAACTGTGCATGAGGAAAGTGATAGCCTGCGTTGCCCTGCAAACTGTGGTGCTGAGGAGATTCTCCTGGCATACAAAAACTGACAGGTGTGTTCCTGATGTCTTCTACAAGCAATCAGATGTTATAGAGATGTTGCTGACTCCTAGGAAGGAAGCATAGCTCTAATTGAGTTTCAGCTCTTCCCCTATCTTAACACAGAATTTGTAATACACAATCCTTTCACCTTGCAGAGCTAATTGTTTCTAGCTGGAGAACAAGAAGATGTTTTTATTTATCTGCATCCTGAATATACTATCTATCACCATGGTCCTTTAGGTCAGTACTGACAAACATGTGGGACAGGACTGATCCTTCTCTCAGCTCTCTTCCTTGTTTCTTTAGGTACTTTGTTACCTCAGTCTCCCTGTACTTCATGTTCCCTGAACTTCCCTTTCCCTTACTTCTTTTTCATTATGTTCGCCTTTGGCACATCCTGCATCCTTCTGAGTTTCCCTCTGTCTTCCCACACTCTGATACTTACCCTGGGAGTTATACTCTTCTATCCCTAATCTGATCCTCACAGAACATCAGGTTCATTTAATCACTGTCTCAAAAATTGCAAAGATTTTATTAGATTTATCCACTCTTAATGATACAGTGATAGCACACCAAAGTACCCTTTAGAACAAACTTCAATTGCTAACCCAGCTGATTCCTCTTTTCTCTATAGTGAAATAAAGTTGAGGGAAGGACATAAACCCAAACCCTTCATAAACCCAAAAAAGAACACAGTGCAGCACTTTTTATCTGCAGTTCCCCAAAGGAACATGTGATTACACACTCCTGGACGCAGGAGCTCTATCTACAAACAGAAAAACACTGTATCCAGAAGCCTACACTCTGTGCATTAAAAACATAACACATTGTGGCTAAAAAGGATGATATTGGTTTTCCTTAAAAAAACTCAGTTACAGCAATAATTACACAAGAACTGCATTTTAAGGAGCATGCAAGATCTTGAGGAAGGCAATGGGAAAAAAGTGACTAAACAGGGAAGGCTTCTGACTGCTGGTTCACATAGAATCCCACTAACCACTGCTAACTGCTGTTTTCTTTTGCTTTGGGAAGTTAACATTCCTTCCCTGCACCTCTCCATCCTCATCCTCCTGGAGCCTGGCAATTCTGTCATCCATCCCTTCCAAATATCCACAGCAAATACACATATGTGGTCGCTGCAGGTGCATTTGTCAGGGTCATAAGGAAGCAAGAATTCCTCTTTCACTTGTTCTTTCGTAAGGCATTCGATTCCACACCAGTTCTGTGGAGGTACTAGCTTTCACAGTGAATGTGATTTTTTGTTTGAAGCTTTGCTATTCTGGCTGTAATTCAGGTTAGGAAGTAATTAGCTTTTCAGAGGCGTGTTGTGGCAGGGCACAAAGGCCACAGCCAGAATGAATGTAAAAAGAAAATATAGTCAAATTTAACTAAATAAGCAAAACCAAAACCAAACATGAAATAAAATTAAAGCAAATTACTCCAGAGGCTGGCAGTGAGCAAATTCATAAGGACAATATCCAGATATATAGTCTACTAAATGATTAGTATCAAGAAAAAAATCTTTACCTTGGGATACTGTACCATTTTGAAATATCTTCGAATTTAATTTGTTGGTCACTCGTCACGAAAATCATAGGTTCCTCCCAACACTGCCTTTTCACCTCTATAACCATTAAGGCATGTTTAACAACGTATCTGCCAATATTTTTTTCTGAAATGTATGTCATTTTTAACCTCAGAGAAAGCCCAGGAAAACAAATCAGAGCTATCACGGAAGCTTACAACTCAAAACCAATAAGGTAAGTGGCATCTCAGTTTATACCTAAGGCTGAAACAGAGACTGTGCAAGAGAGTATTTTCTTTTCAGAATTGTAAAAGTTCTGTTTTTGTAGACAAAAGAGAAGGAATAACATTGATTCTCAGCACCAATCAACGCTCACACACAGCCAGTGAGAAGTCACCGATGTCTATTATTTGCAGCTTTAAGCTCTTGCTCCTGACGTAGTACTCCTACTTCAGTACTGAGAAGGCAGTTCTGTCTAACACTGGCACAGAGTACTGAACTTAAAACTTCTGTGACTACAGCAGCTGACGGACACAACCTTGCACATAGTCTAAGTTAAATTCACATTAATCCTGTAACAAACTCAAAATTTTTAGGCACCTGGGAGCTGTGATATTAAAACTAGCTTATCCATAGAAACATTAACCAGTTTGGCCTCGAGTTCTGTTTTCCTCATGGCATGAGTTAGAAGGCAATGCAGTGGGGTTGCAAAGACATATAAACTCTATTTGATAGAAGGCAAAGGTTAAATCCCTTACAAAAGGTATCTTCTTATCTAAAATGCAGCTTTAACTTAATTCCCTATTTTTCATAGTTTATAATATGGCTGTCAGACTGTGCTGAAATTCTGCTTGAAATGGTTCATACTGGGAGCAGCTTTATTTCAGCAATTTGAAAAGAAACCATTCAACTGTATGAAGATACAGAAATGTAATTTTAAAAAACTGTTTATCAGACACTGGCACTTTTCCTGCTTGTGTAATTCAAAAAGGATCTCAGTAAAGAAAATTGAATTTGGCAATCCATTAATACAGATTTGATGCTCTCTCTGTTCATCTCTTGATGTCTCACCCCTTTCAGAAAAATGAAAATAACTCATGGTAAAAGAGTGGCTGTTCCCTCACATTTGTCCACTGTATTGGCAATTATTAAACCCTGGAAAAGCTACTGAAGCTCTGCTGACTCATGGTGGCAGAGAAATTACTTGTTAATTCCATAATGAAGATACAGAAAGAAAACAAAGGAGGAAAAGCCAGAGAACTATCAAAATCTGAGAAGAAGGATCAGACTGAGCTAGTAAAGTTGTACCAACTCTTATTAAGATGAAAATTCAGACTTAATTTCAACCCGTCTGAGTTTAAGGAACCTGAGCCATTTAAATAAAGAGCTCACTTGTCACGGGCATCTTCTTCTGTCAGCAGAGGAAGAGAGTGGCAGTTCTAGGAGACAAACTGACTTACTGAAGTTCTGAATTGTCTTCCAAAGATGCCAGTCCTGCTCCATCAAGTACACACAGACCTCAAGGCAGTGATGGAAAACCTATAATAAGCACATCAGGACAGGCACATGATACTCCTGCCAGCCAAACAGCTCCCCAGACTATCACAGTGCCCAGCACATCCTGCATTTTTTCACTGGCCTCCCAACCCAACAGATCAGATTCAACAGGAAAGATGTGCTGTGTTGAGAATGGGAGATCATGATAAATTTAGAATTAACCCTTTACATCTTCACAAAACTGAGCCACACTGGAGAACTTTCTTATGGTGGGTCTTGATGCAGATAAGTAGTTTTGAGTGATGACGTGAAAAATGTTCACCAGTTGTTATTAGTGAGGGGAAACCATGCTCCTAATTAAGGCACTACAGGTAGGTGCATTAATGCTCTAGTGCAATTGCTTTAAGCCTTAAGTCATTCACAGACCGAGTACTAGCCAACGCTAGCATTTTAAAACATGGAAAAATTTAGGTTTCACCTCCTTTTAAATTCTTCACTGCTCAAAATCCAAAGCACGTTTTTCCAAGGAGTAAGGTTCCTCAGAGGGGAACAGCAGTTCTTAGTGCTATCTGGTTGCAGGGACTATCATCTGTACTCCCCTTTTAGCAAGCAGTACACTTCAGGCTTTTGCATGTTCTAGCTCTACATTGAGCTTTGACTTTATACTTCTCCACCATCTCTTGGTGGAGGAAGAATGCTAATGTGGCGCATTTGCTATAATGCCATCTTACCATCGCTCTGCCCAGTTAAGAGGATGCATTCTTTCTCTACAGCACACAGCAAACGAAGTAAAGGGAAAGAGAAAAAGGCTCTTTATAACAGTCCAGAGTCACACACCTAAAAGAGTTCTGCATACTTTACCTGCACATAAAATTCTACCCAAGACATAACCTACAGTAAAAACAATTCACCTGATCGAGGTAACATATCAAGCTGCTTAGTCCCCATGTTGCAAGGATCATGGAAGCGTGTGTTTGAAGTGTTTGTGCTGTGGAAGTGACAACAAGTTGGGAAATAAATGAGCACAATACTCTCTTCTAACCTCCTGGCATTATACTTTTTAACAGATGAGAAAAAAGTAAAAAGTCTGAAGCTCTGAAACATTTTTCATGTTGCATAGTGTCCCCACTGAAATGCTTGATAAGAGACACAGTGACAGGCTGATACTTCAATGAAAAAAAAATCGTGAGTTATTGCAAAAAAAAAGTCTTGTAAGCATGTCTCATGCAATGAGGGGAAAAAAACCCAACCCTTAGGACTGAAAATTTATATCTATGCCCTACAAATGTCATGTTATCCTTCCAGACAAAAGTCTCAGCCCTGCATACAGAGCTATTAAGTTCAAGGATGCAAAACAGCTTTCAGAAACAGTAAAAGAGGCTAAGAGGATTTGGATATTTCAGCATACCTCACTAATTTACATTGAAGCTGACCAGTCTGCTCCTATTAGTCACTCAGAACAATCACTCTTTTCCCAGCAGAGCTTACTCATTTGCAAGATAAAAGGAAGACATTTCTGCACATGCCCATAATATTCTTCACCACTGGGGGCAGCTTTACATAAGACTGCATTCACTGAAACCAGAGCAACAGTCGGACGGAGCTTTCAGAATGACAGTACGCAGAAGTGAGCAGAGCTTATTCGTTGCACGGGCTTATTCTACCTTCTATGCTACAAAGCAGCTTCCTAGCCGGATCGGGTACTAAGTAAGGGAACTGCTGTGCTATGGAATACAGATGTGTGAATTCAGATAGCTAAATGGTGCTCGGAAGAATCTAAAATGCTTTCTTACAAAGAGAAATTTTAAAAGCCAGGTTCCTAACTATAAAGATGCAAAAACGTAACATCCATGAAGATCCTATTACCTAGGAAGAATTTGGCATTTTTCTGCGAATGCTGTGTTGGGATTGATTTATTCTTGGAGTGTTCTGCATGGCTGGCAAAGAATAATGTTCCAAAATCGGTCCATCTCCCAAGGGGTCCAATTTTTCTTCCTGGGTGTCAGCGAGCCCTGACTCACTACAGTGCAGCTGACAGGGGCTGCCATGCTTGTGGCACACTAAGCAAAAAACAAAAGACCTAAGGACGACCTTTGAACAACACAAAGGATGGGTATGTTTTTCATGTTATTTTTTTAATATACAATTCATAGACACTGCATAGCCTCTGCTTTAATTGCTCCATAGTCTTACCTTTATGTGATTTGTGATTACAGTTAAATTGCTTAGGGGTTACACCTTTTACCCAACTGTTTTTTTCAGTATTTATAAAGGCATTCTTTTAAAAAATCTGAGTAAAGAAAACAATGTGAAAAGTAGTTGAGACAAGCTAGGGATTTTTAAGTGATTGTTGAAATAAAGATTTTAGCATGATTGAAAGAAATGACTGATGTGTGGGGGGATAACTTTTCTAAGTTGTTTTTATTTCCAGGTTTCAATGTAATTAGGCTACTGAGCGGATCAGCTGTAGCTCTGGTAATAGCCCCTACTGTATTACTGACAATGCTTTCTTCTGCTGAACGAGGATGCCCTAAGGGCTGTAGGTGTGAAGGCAAAATGGTATACTGTGAATCTCAGAAATTGCAGGAGATTCCCTCAAGTATATCTGCTGGTTGTTTAGGTTTGTCCCTTCGCTATAACAGCCTCCAAAAACTAAAATACAATCAATTTAAAGGTCTTAATCAACTCACCTGGCTCTATTTAGACCATAACCACATCAGCAATATTGACGAAAATGCTTTCAATGGAATACGCAGACTAAAAGAGTTGATCTTGAGTTCCAACAGAATCTCCTATTTTCTTAATAATACCTTCAGACCTGTGACAAATCTCCGGAATTTGGATCTGTCATACAATCAACTGCAGTCTCTGGGATCTGAACAGTTCAGGGGCTTAAGGAAGCTGCTGAGTTTACATTTGCGGTCCAATTCCCTAAGAACCATCCCTGTTCGAATATTTCAAGATTGTAGAAACCTTGAACTGTTGGACCTGGGTTATAATCGCATCCGAAGTTTAGCAAGAAATGTCTTTGCAGGCATGATCAGACTGAAAGAGCTTCACCTGGAGCACAATCAATTTTCTAAGCTCAACCTGGCACTTTTTCCAAGGCTAGTCAGCCTTCAAAACCTTTATTTACAGTGGAATAAAATCAGTGTGATAGGACAAACTATGTCCTGGACCTGGAGCTCATTACAAAGGCTTGATTTATCTGGCAATGAAATAGAAGCTTTCAGTGGACCTAGTGTTTTTCAGTGTGTGCCCAATTTACAGCGCCTCAACCTGGATTCAAACAAGCTCACATTTATTGGTCAAGAAATTTTGGACTCCTGGATATCCCTCAATGACATCAGCCTTGCTGGGAATATATGGGAATGCAGCAGAAACATTTGCTCTCTGGTAAACTGGCTTAAAAGTTTTAGAGGGCTGAGGGAAAACACAATAATTTGTGCCAGCCCAAAAGAGCTGCAGGGGGTGAATGTTGTCGATGCAGTGAAAAACTACAGCATCTGTGGCAAAAGTACCACGGAAAGGTTTGAATTAGCACGAGCTCTCCCTAAGCCAACGTTTAAACCAAAACTCACCAGGCCTAAACACGACAGCAAGCCCCCTCTACCCCCAACTATTGGAGCCACTGAATCGAGCTCTGAACCCGAGCATGACACAGAACACATCTCCTTTCATAAAATCATAGCAGGGAGCGTGGCCCTTTTCTTGTCTGTGCTTGTGATCCTGCTGGTAATCTATGTGTCATGGAAGCGTTACCCAGCCAGTATGAAGCAGCTGCAGCAGCGCTCTCTCATGCGGAGGCACAGGAAAAAGAAAAGACAGTCACTGAAGCAAATGACTCCAAGCACACAGGAATTTTATGTAGATTACAAACCTACCAACACTGAGACCAGTGAGATGCTGCTGAATGGAGCAGGACCCTGCACGTATAACAAATCAGGCTCCAGGGAATGCGAGGTATGAACCATTGTGATAAAAGAGCTTTTAAAAGCTGGGAAATAGTGGTGCTTTATTGAACTCTAGGGACTATAAAGGGAACGTTTTTCTCACTTCTCTGGCACAGCTCTTCCATGTCACTTATTTTGTACATTCATAATACTGGTCATTTTATTCTCATACATAATCAAGTCATTGAAATTTAAATACCGCAATCAATGTGAAGTCTGAGCTCGGTTTAATACAATACCTATTGTACAAATCCTCTTCTGATTTCATTAAAGTCTTGCTTGTTTTTAAATAGAAAACTTCTTTCATAACTAATCCACTGCACCTGCAGTGAGTGTGCTTCTGTTTAGGGAGAAAGATCACAACAATGATGAAAAATAAATCAAACCCAGCTCCCTTCCCAGTCCATGCTCTGAAACTTGCTTTTTGAGATAAGGTACTGTAGCATCATAGGAATTCTGATTTTTCCGAGTCAAGAGATGGTGCAGGAGTAGCTCTGAAAAACTGCCTGATTTCTGCCTAACACATGACATAATAATAATTAAAAAAAAATTCAGTCTCAGGCTTGAGTCATCAAACCAAAAGCAGAGTAGGCTAAATATAAATTTTAAAATAAAAACTGCGGAATGGGGCTTATTCTACTGCATTATAATAGTTTTTCTATGGCTGATAATTCGTAATTGAAACCTGTTTATGTGACTTCACACAAAAGGTGCCAGTGTTTATCCCTTACACCCAGTTGCCTTTCAGAAAGTAGTCAAAAGGCATTCATTAAGTGAGGAGCAGAAATTCCTTATTGATGCAATTAGAGGAAATGAAATGTGCAGTAGCAAAAGCAACACCACTTCCTGCACACATTTGTACAAGTGCTCATTAGAAATTCTCTTTTCAAGACTGTCAAAGACGTTAATGTAGCTGAAGAAACAATTAAATCTTCCATTTTCTTCTATTCCTCTCTATTTGCTGGGCTTGGTAGTTGTTGTGATGTGTTCTGTACACTGTCTCTCTAATAACTAAATAAAGCTTCGTTGCAATCAAAGCCAAACAGTGTACATTTTAGAAGAACAGCAACTGCAAAAGAGCTTTCAGAAAAAAATTTGTCAGTCATCTAAGTACACTGCATCCAAAAATCCTTAAAGAAGCCAGTGACAAATTATTTTTCCCTCTTACCAAAACCCTGATGACATTACAAGAATTCAGATACTCAATTTTAATGTGAACTCATTCATCAGTTGTTTTGGACAAAATACAGATTTGTGAGCTGGCTCCTCCCTTTCCTCTCTCCATAAAAGCTTTTTTTTTTTTCTTCCAGTTGCTTAGAACATAACATCCTTCGTATTTGGAAAAATAATCATATATTCTATGTATTTTGATGGTCTTCTGAACACAGATGTTTTCTTTCATTCTTTAAATAATACAGCAGCACCCATATAGAAGTAGAGTTAGTTGTGTAATTATTTTGTAACTTGATTTGGCTTAGTAAACTGCACATCTTCAATCACTTGGAAGAGAATGTTTCTTCAAAGCAGTTTCACTGCAGCAGATTAGAGGAAGTAAAGCCTTAGCAGGATGTTCTATTGAATTTTTACTAGAAAAATAATCATCACAGCCAATCACCTTGAAACATGCTAGATACAATGAAAACAAACCTATGAATCATTTCTTTAAAGAAACTAATATATTTGAAGGGTATTCGGCTTTTGTGGTGCTACTGTTGTTGTTGTTTATAGCATATAATGAAACCAGTCTCATTTTCAAGGACTGTGGTGAGTAAGAATGGAAGCTTGAGACTATACTGAACCCTGCAACACTGAGATCTTATTTTATTAAATATAGAAAGAATTCTGAACATTTAAATGATTAAACATTTAATAATGGAAGTGCTGGAGATGTTTTAGCAGCACTGAGCAGACTGTAATTTTTAAGCTGAATTGTAGCTTAAAAGTTGCTATTGAAAGTCAATATAAATTGAATTAACTTAGCTATTACGGGATTCAGTTTTCCATCACCAAGTCTTGGTAACCTCTGTGCTGAAGGATTATAAATTTGCCTTAAACTTATTGATAAGAACTATGGCTGTACTTCTATAGTCTTTAGTGCCTGTAATGGTGACTAATACTATGTACTACCAAAACAAAAAGTATTTGGCCCCAAACATACATATGTTCATACAAGAAATTGTGTACACACACACACACACACACACACAGGAAAGTTATGATATCCTTGACTTCAGGAAGTGATGACTACATTAAAGAAATAATTTCATATGATTAATATAGAATTTATGTTATTTAATAATACTCAATACATATTCTAAAATTTCTTAACATATTGTGATTGTGAATGAGTTGTGAATAGCTGAGTTTGACTTACAAAGTCTTTTTAATGCCTTATACCTCAACACTCAGAAAAAAAAAATAAAAAAGAAATCAATCCCATATTCCTCTACAGAAAGCAATTCCTGTAAAGTTATCACCAACTCCCTTTGAAAAATATTTCACTATGTGACTGAAAAAGCAGCTAAGGCCAGTATGTCATTAATCACAGATGACAAAAATAACAAAAATTCAGCACATTTATATTCAAGTAGACACACTCAGATCAACTGTATTATTTGTTGCCTGAGAAACAACAGGCAGACTTCATGTATTGCCAACTATGCCCCAAACACAGATGAACGTGTAATTGCTGCTATTGCTGCTGTCTTATTACACAAAATAAAATGCCCAGTATAACTAATTGAACCTTCTTGCACAGCCTGAGGCCTGAGAATTGAGTCGTTTAGTGCCACTCTAGTGTCTATGGCTTAGAAAACACTTTTTAACCAGCTTTGTAACATGTTAAAACATACAAAACCCATGCTTTAAACTGCACAAAGACGACATGAAATAAACTAACCTTAATCCTACTACTGTAGAATTAAACACTATAGAATTGACTTGTTTTGGGAGACTAGGCCACCAGAGTCACAAATTTTAATCACCTTGTGGGAAATAACGTCAACTTAACTGAATAACCTTCAGTTTCTGTGAGAGGTTGCCCTTCTAAAAATACAAATGAATATATAAATACAAACGAAATGATAAAGCTTCAGAGATTTCAGAGAAGAAATTTGTCTGTCCCCCTTTCATCTGGATGTATAGAGTTCTTGTCCTACTTCGTCTTGGCTTTTGGAATTTTTGATGCCAGTCTCTCACAGAATTCTTAAAGTCTTCCTGGGTTGATGCTGAGAGATCTTCAGAGGGTGTGTAATATCTATGATGGCTTTTAAAGCCCTACTCCTCCTTCAAGTATTTCAGGCACCAAGTTGAGGAAGGAGATGCAGGAGATGTGACAAAATGCCTTTTATAACTTGCTTGTCCTTTAACGGCTTTGATGCTGTCTGTATATTCCAAGTTGAGAAGAGCAAGATTGCATTTATAGGTGTTATTGTTTGTTTGCCTGTTTTAAATCAACCTATTCCTTTCCCTGAGTCTCAACTAGTGTTACCTAGTGTTTTGGAAGTACCATCTGGAGATCAAGGCATTTCAATATAGAAAAAAAATGCAGAACCCCTTAATGACAGTTTTCATTTTCATTGGTTTAGCAACAGTCAACAGTTATTTAAACAATGAAAATAGAAATGTCAGGTGGGATCACCAAACAAGGCTGTTTCATCTTATAGCAGCACCCCAGCAAGCTGGAAAGTTGTCAGCACATCCTCTGCCAGCCATTCTACAAAGACCTTGCAACAATCTCTCACATAGAAAGTTTGTACATGGCATGTTGGGAGGATGGAAAAAGAGATAACAGATTTGAGGTAATTTGCTTGAGATCACACACCAACTGAGATCTGGGAAGACAAATCTAGTCACTTTCTGCAAAGGCATCCTCTTAGCCAGTGGACTAATTAGCTTTCCAGTTAAAAGACTGAGATGCTATTCACTACCTCTTAAAATACTTGACTACATTTTAGAATACTAGATAGTACAGAATGCACATTTTTTGAAAAGAAAATAACTAATGTACTAAGCAAATTCTAGCAGACTGGTAATGTTCATTCACTGTGCTGAGATTACCTCCAGCAATTGTAGAGTAGAAGAATAATAATGAGACCAAGTGGCTTGAATATAATGAATGCAAGCATCTCTGCTGGCTGGTAGGCTTTAATTACTCACTATCTGCATTTACACAGTCTTCATGGATTACTGTTTGGTTTTTTAAATTTTATATGAACTAGCAAACCTCAATAAAACGTTCAATTGCAAAAATGAACATAAGTTTACAATATTTCTGCAAACACAGTTAAAAACTCTCAATTTACTGCAAAGGAAAGGTCTTTTCCATCAGCCGCTCAACTCTAGATAAATATTCTCCTAGATGAATTTCTGTGGAACAATAGTGACATCCAGTGGGTAGTAAGCTTAATCACAGGTCTCTATTGAAAACAGATTTGTTTGCCTTTTTACTTTGTATTCTTCTGCATAACATGATGACAGCAGCTAATCCTTTCATCAAACTAAGCACTCAATTGTATTTTAATTTCATTTCTGAGAGTCATAACCTGAACACAGTGAATGATTGAGAAAAGAATAGATGAATGCAAGCAAGAAATGGTCAATCCAGTGTGTAAAGATCCACTGTCAATAAAAGACAAGAAGCACTAAGCAGTAAGAATAGGAGCTGTAAAAAATTTTTTTTAGAACTTATTACCTATAAACACAACTAAGTTACATTAAGATAGTATAAAAATTTATACTACAGACAACTATTTCAACTCCCCAAAACAGCATAAGATTAAAAGCAATTTATTTTTACAAGAACAAGAAAGGTAACATGTCAAAAGAAAGGGGACCCAATCCATTTTAACAAGTTAAAGGTACAAATAATGGAAAAATTACCAATGACATGAGCACACAGCGTATTTGCTTGGAAGAAGGTTATTTGCAGCAACTTGCTGGTCCGTTCTGTTGCAAGTACTTTAGGCCTGAGGGTACGTCAATACCACTGGCAATATTTTAAAATACAGT